GTCTCTCCCTTCCAACCCATCCGCACAGCCTAATTACCTATTCTGTTTCTAGACTCCTAATTCTTCTTTCCATAGTGGTGTCATCCCTGCCCAATGTCTTTTGCTATACTATTCAACCACTCACGCTCTCAGATCTCAACTGCCTATCGCCTAGAGCGCTTTGAGATAACACAGGAAGTGAGGAGAGGACACAGGACAGGTCTGACAAGGTCAAATAGATTTAACAAATTTATTCCAACGGCATATTAAATAGACCAAAAGGGAGAAAATTTTAAGTTTATTTCTAGTGTTAAACTTTAACCTAATTCAACTTTACTTTCAGTTCAAATGCCAAATTAGAACATATGCTCATTAAATAAAAATGAATACTCCCCCCTCTAATAAGTAGCTCTTTTTTTCTTATGATAAGCTGGCTTGGAATCAGCTGATACATCCCAACCCGTCTCCACACTGGCTTGAGAAGAGGTTTTTAAAGGTGCTGTAGCATATTTTGGTTAAGAAGGACGTAAAGGCCTTAAAATACTGCAGAGGCCTGGTGGAAGTGGTCCACTGTAGTAAGTATGCTACTGCACCAGTTTTTGCCGGTGGCTTTATGTGGAGATCCCAGCTGTCAATATACTGTACATGTTTTGGGGAGGTGTTTCTCCCTTTCCTCAGGATTAGGCAAGTTGAGAGTTTCGGCTTCCTTGCATGACCAATTTATTTAACCTCTTCCTTTCCAGTTATCTATGCGATGTATAGATCGTGAATACAGCCGAGTAGACATATTGCTAAACTTCCCAAATTCACGTCATAGTCCGCCCTATGGCATATAAGTGTCGAAAAATATTTTTCAAAGTTAATTTTTGATGGGGACATACTCAGAAAAATAAAAGTAATAAGATGAAGTTAAAACTTAAAGTTAAGAAGCTTCTTGTTTAAAATCCTCCCTCCATCTGACTACAATGAACTGATGTTTAGGAACATTAAAAATACATTTTGTAAGATGGCAACTGTCAGGAAGAATAAAGCTATTGAAACAAGTAATATATTGAAAGTTTTTGTTTGGCTGTGGTTGTCTTCTATGAAAATGGTCAAATCTAGGAAGTTAGTAAAACGTTGGTCATTGGATAGTATAATTAACAAACTAAATACCAACAATTTTAATATATTACACACTCCCACAAGCAGTCAGGTCTCTATTAATTTTCTAGATTTGACGTTTTTTTATTTGAAACGTTTTTTTATTTTTACTTTTCCAAGTTTTAAAAATATTTTTTATTTTTTATAAACTTTTTAATTTTTTATATTTTATTTGTATTTATTTATTTATTCATTTTTATTAAAGATTTGTATTGTTTACTTTACTTTTAGGTGCTTTGGGGAATTATTATGGGTCTAAACCCCTGATATTTCCCTTTAAAATAGAAATAGAAAAAGAGATCAAGGACACAGAGTCCTCAATCTCTTTTTCTGCTTCTCCTGTTATTAATGAACAGGAATCCTCTATACTGAGTGTTCCTGTTCATTCATAACATGAGGACATAGTATGTTTACTATATCCTCTTTCATTATTGAACAGGAAGTGATGTAGATCACTCCCATTCATTCATAATTGAGGATATATGCAAGAAAAAAAAAACTCCCATAGAATTGTCTCTCTCCCCTGAGGAAGCCCTTTCGGGGCGAAACATGTAGGGACTTACAGGAGCGTTTATACCATTCTGATAACAAACAACCATATACATCGTAACTGCACGGTATCGTCACCATTCGGTGAACCTGCATTTGTAAAAGCATTTTTATTGATGATTTTGTATTCCGTTTTTTATCTTAAATAATGTATACAACCATTTATTGAATAAATGTACTTCTAAGATTTTTATACACGAGGTCTGGACTTGTTTCTTAAAAGCCCCCTTTTTTTATTTTCCCCTCTGGGTCCTCGCACACCCCACTGTGGAAATACCTTTTTTTCAGCGTCCTGTGACAGCGCTGGCTGTCTCCGAACACACCGCTCTCCCGATCTGTGACAGGAGGCTGAGCGGTGGGGGAAGTAGAGACGCCGGCCGCTCACAGTGCTCTCCTACCACAGCGCTCGGCCGCCTGTGATCGTTTCTTTCCTCCCCGCTGGGACACAGAGCAACGCCCAGCAGGGAGGAGAGAAAGCACAGATGCACCACTATATCGGCCAGCATTATGGCAAAAGTGCCATTTTCGTCCGTTATGTTTCGGCGGCCGATATATCGGTGCATCCCTAATAATAACAAATTCACTTAAGAATTTGCATAAACAGCACATAAAATGTATTGAAAGAGATTGAAAGATACATTCATATATAGTGAAGCAATATATGTTATTTTGGAACACCTTATCAGCATATAAGCACCTAATATTGTGATTTCATCATCAGTTATATTATCATAATAATTACTTTTCTTTATCATCATGTTAAGAGAACAGACATTCTACCAGATTACTGACCTGTCAAAGGGGGTGTATGTTTTTGTTTGCTTTCTTTATTATTCTCGGGACTAAAAACAACATTTTTTTTTACATTTTCTAAATATGAAATATTGCATATAAATATTTAATATTGATATATTGCAGCCAACAGATGGAGCTATTGTCCTTTTTTTTACCAGGCTATTCTTGGCTGTCATGCTAAAAAAAAGAGCCTGTTGTTTACAAAGCTTGATAGTGCCACCTTGAACCGTATACACACAGTAGAATATGTTGATGCAGTTGCTCCCCCATCTCTTTTCTGCCATCTTCCTGCTCTGTACAGATTTCCAAATAGAGAGACAGTCTGAAAGCAAACTACTGCTGCACGTTTTGTTGAAACCCACAACAGCGGTGTCATGTGCATATGCTGTATCAAATACTTATTTGTAAACTATAAACTTATTGAACCCAAGCCATTATAGTTTCCCTTAAAAAAACATTGTAATTGAAACCCTAGCTGACAGGAACCAAAAGGGTTAAACAAGGCCTAACCCTCTCTATAAAAGCCCCTCCTCCTGCTGACTTCCCCAGTCTTTTTGTTCCTGTCCCCCTAGGACAGGGTTGTTTGTATGTTACTGAGAAGTTTTTTTTTATTTGCCAACTGATTGATTTCGTATTGGCCTCAGGGGAGTTCAGCCTCTCTCCCCTGGGAAGTCTCCAAGACTCGGCCCCGTGCAAGGGTGTCCCCTTGGGGAAGGACAAACATGGTTTCCATGAGAGGAAGCCGGATTTTCCATATACTGTGCAGCCTGTCAGACAGGGAGGGTAAGACTTGTGGTTTCACTTACCTGCTGTGCTGTATGATGTCCTTTTCACCTCGGCCGGCTCCCCGCGGTCTTGTCTGTTTGTGATGTGTGGGCGAGACAGGATGGGCAGTAGCGGCTTCAGCTGGCATCTGCGCATGCGCGGAAGTTCCGTCGTGCGTGAAGTCAACAGAGATTCGGATCCAAATTGGAATTTGCAAGCCATCTCCAGGGAATTGAAGCTAGAATTTT